GTCCGCGAACCAACAGACTGGACAAACCGAGCGAAATCACGACGGTGCTGCGCGTTGCACGCCCGACATTCTCGATAGGCGCTTAAGGTACGATCGATTCTAAATTAAAGGGACCACTCGAGTTGCGGAGATGTTAATAGGCAACACGATCCCACCCGCGTAAATTGATCTGTCGAGCGGGATTTTAGTTTAACGATTTAATGAGAGAATCGCGGCAGCGCGGAGCGAGCAAGGGCGAGGGAGAAAGAGGGAGTTAATCAAATTGTCACGAAGAGGAAATTCAGCGCGCGAAGATTTTAAATAATTCAACGTGTACAGGGTGAGTTAATAACTATTGCTACCTCGAATATCTTCGAAGCGAGGAGCAAAATGATCTTCAGACTTTTGAAGAGTTATTCTGCGTAGAAAAAAGAAGCTTTTCGTGGCGGTTGTGTCGTTTCTCTGGCAGAAGTAACTTTGAGCATCTCAAGATCGCCTTTATCTTTTGCATCGAAGATATTCAAGGTAGCAGTAGTTATTGACTCATCCTATATAACTTTCCCCCAACTTTCCCCCACGTGTATGTTGCACAAGTAGAAATAGCTCGCATCTAGTAGAGAGACGTTTTTTCCCCTTGGCGATCCCCGCTCTTCATCACTCGTCGCCTGTACTCGCGACTCGAGAGCCAGGCTATCCGGGAAACTAGAAGCCTGCGCTCAGTAATATGGAAAATGGGAAAGTTCCTCGCAGTATGGATTTCCTTTCGAAAGGACCAGCTTGCGATATATATATATATATATATATATATATATATATATATATATATAAAGTTTATTATCGTCCCGATACATCAGAAGTTCGTCCGATCTTTCCTTTGAGGTATTTATTCATTCGTGCGCGCTTCCAGCAAGCGCGCGTCAGGAGAACCGGTCAAAATACGATGTTTGCGCGGATATAAAGCGAATAAATTTTATTCCTGCCGCGCCTCTTTCGGCGCCGCGGCGTTTTTAATTATGCGGTTATTAGCGGACCGTTCGGGCGCGATCGGAGGATTAAAACGCCGCGCCGGCCGCGGGAAAGTTTTCGCCGAGCGAAAGTTACGTAAGTGGCGGAAAAAAACGAACTTTCCTCGTTATTTTCAATCGACATTGCTGGCGCGCCGAGCAAACACTCACACACCTACATATATACGCTCGTTTCGATCGAGCCGCGGTGAATTATGTCGCGGCTGGTTTTTAAGTAAATTCGCGACGCTTTTCTGTTCGCCCGCATTCGTGAACGAGACCGGAAGAAAGAGAGAGAAGGGGGAGAAAGAAAGAGAAAGAGATTTCGTTAGCAGCGCGTTGCGTTTTTGCAATCGAGATCGTCGGAAAAGGCAAGCGATTTTGTACTCGCGGTTCGTGCTGCGTAATAATAAAAAGCAGAATTATTTTGCAATTCATCGCGTTTGTCGAGTTAATTAATGTATTGTCCCAGTCCCCGCGGAGAGGTTTGCGGTGCGAAACGTTTTCTCTCGTTTTCTATAGCTCTTTTCTCCTCTCTCACTCACTTACTCACACACACACATACACTGTTTCTCTCTCTCTCTCTCTCTCTCGACGGCGCCGCGTCGCCGAGTGAATGTGAAACTCGAAATGAAAAATTCAAGTCGCGTCGATTACTATCGGCGGCCGAAATCGTGGCCTGCAAAAATGATCCCGCGCGCGCTTCCGGTTTTTATGATATAATTTATAAACTGCGCACACCCCGCTTGTGTGTGCACGCGCGCGTATGAGTCCGAGATAATTGCGTTCGCTTTGTGTGTGCATTCACATTCGTAAACATTCTCGTCTTCTCTCTGGCAGGCATTTCGAGAGTGACTGTGTTTCAGAGAGTTACGATATATCTGACACCGTCAGGACTAAACACAAACATCCCTTTATCGACATGCTTATCAAGCGTAGTCTGCTCAACCGTCATATCTCTCTCCAAAACTGTTGTCGTTTTATCCCTTTTCTTTTGCTACGTTCGCAAAGACCGTCTGATGTGACTGTGATGCAACGAGTATTCTGCATCGAAATTTTGCTCTTATTTCCGACCTCAATATTCTATTTAACATTTACTCTGATACTCTATATCAATCTTTTTCGATTCTATTTAACTTACTGACTTTATCGAAAGATCCTCTTTTCATCAGAATTTACAAGTGGCATTTTTTACCAAATAGAAAATTGCCACTTTCCATGAGTATTCAATGTAACATTGAATATACTCAGAACATACCTTCAGAACATACAGATGTTCGGATCGAAAGAGTAGGTTTAAAATTTTGATTCGAGTATTCATAGAAGGCGACGATACTCACGATGTTTAAATGCACATTATCCTGGTCTGCGTTGTGCTAAGCTCCAATAGAGACTAGATACGCATCATGACCGTTGACTATCCGGTTAATATTTTAACAATTTGATACATTATATCGCATCAAATCGTATCGTACTGTATCATATTATGTCCGAGCATGACGGGAATAATTGAAGGGACCAATGAATTTTAGCCTAGTGAATGTTAAGGTTCATTGAATCTTATTGTATACGCACAGACACACGCGCGCTCCCACACATACGACACGTATGACAACGGGAGCATCGCGGTGTATCGATTTTGACGTATCCTAGTCAGGCCAATTTCATCGGGTTGTATGTTCGCGTGCGGCGGTTTTCCGCGTCACCGCGAATATGATTATGCGCGCCGAACGGGGGCTACGTCATCGAAAACAATATCGGCGCGCGCTGCAATCTGATTTTGGGTAACAATATTCGCAAACGAATGCGTGCGGCGCGCGCGGTCGACTACGAGCAGAGGCACCAACGGATGAACGAAACGAGCGAGCGAGCGAGCTGGGTGCCGCGGAGACCGTAAAATCGTGAAGCGACTGCATCGATTCCGCGGCGTGGAATTGCAAACGGTAATTAAAAGAACGTGCTAAACGCCTGCGCTCACGGTGTTATACGCGAATTTGCAGCGTCATATTAAAAGAATATGACGTCTCTGTCTCTCTTTTTCTCTCTCTCTTTCTCTCATGTTACTTTATGTAATACCAATTGTTCCAAGATATAATATAATATTTCAGAGCTGAATAAATACTGTACTCTAATATCTCCTCTCTCTCTCTCTCTCTCTCTCTCTCTCTCTCTCTCTCTCATGTTACTTTATGTAATATTGACTGCTCCAAGGAATGTAACATCCTAGAGCTGAATAAATACTCTATTCTACTTTAATTTCTCCTCTTTCTCCTCTCTCTTTTCTCACCTTTCTCATTCTTTCTTTCTCTCTCTTTACCTCTCTCCATCTCTCATGTTACTTTATGTAATATTGACTTCTCCAAGAGATGCAACATCCCAGAGTTGAATAAATACTCTATTCTACTCTAATCTCTTTCTTTCCCTCCTCTCTCTCTCTCTCTCTCTCTCTCTCTCTCTTTCTCTCGTGCGTATGTGTGAACTGAGTCGATTGAATACACGGGGCCGACGTCCACGCCGAATCTCGCACAATCGAACGCGCATAAGCGTGTGTAGCTGAGCCGGTTAGGTTTTGCAGCGTGCGAGCGAGCTTTGATTGATGATAAAAGTGTTTATTGACCTGCGCGCAGCGCAGATGCAACGTTCCTCTATTTTTGTCCGAATACGGAGTTTGATTGATAGCGCGCGCACGCGCCTCCCGCTTGCTGGTATCAGCCGCGAGATGATAAGGGCCTTCGGCGCGTGCATACAGTGAAATTGCACGCGGCTTCGCCGAGAGATATTTTTTATACACTTGTTTAATAATTGGCGCGTTGGAAATCTTTCATTAGGTGTATCGTTGCGTAGTGTGTGCGCACATGTCCATCCATATGCAAACACGTGTACGTAGGGATCATATTTATGGCGCTGCCGATAATAATACTACCGAATAATATGATATTATAATTTTACGTTAACGAATTTCTATTGGACATTTATCGAGAAAATATGAGTCGCATTAAAGTAAATTAAACATTTTCCGCCCAGGATTATCGCATACGATAACATCGTCGTAAAATCATACAGATTTAATCCGCACGGCCGTTACGCGCGCGTCATTAAAAGCGCTGCAAAAACATTTGCGCTTTGCAACACAGTAAACAAATATTCAAACAGCACACGTCCGTTGAGCGCGCTTTCGTTTAACGTATAATTAAAGCCAACATTTGCACTTCTCCGTGAAAGCGTCAAATTTAAAATCGCTACGGTCGCCAGGAAATTTGAGCGAATTTTATACGATATCGTCGAACATATCAAACGGAACTGCCACATAGTGATTTTTTTTACAATATATTTCATAAGCTTTCTTCACACCCTTTTCATCGCACACTCTCTTTCCCCTTCGACTATGTCTAGTGAGCAAAGTCCGTTTCTTTAATCATATTTTCTGCGCTTTCTACACACAAAGGGAATTTTATAATAAAACTTACTATAGAATTTTAACCAAAAAAGAAGATAGATTTTTTTATATTTAGATTAGGTTTGTGCTATTAAAAAATTCGCTATATTTCTAGCAAAATTTACTTTGTTCTTTAGCAAAATAGACTTTACTGATAATACATTCCCTTGCACTGCTAGAAAAATAGTAAAATAAAATAAAATTTATATAAAAAAAGACTATATATATGTTAGTACAAGTAAATATGTTATTAGAGTAGCCATTGCAAATCAATATTTTTTATTATTTAGATAGTTTTTTCTCAGCTTGTATCGCTTTCTAATCGTTTGTATCGTGTCAACATATACGTTACACTGAGAGAAAAAAATTGATTAATGTCATTAAAATCAAAGTTATTTTCGGCGTCAATTATGCTTTCTTGTTGCTCTAACAAAAACAAATAGTATTAGTAATTATGTTCACAAGGTCACTATCTCACTATAATACTTTCTAAATTTCTTAAAGTGAAATATCACTCGAAAGAAGCGAAAAGCGCGACAGTATTTTCGCACGAGGTGACAGTATTTTCTTCGTGTACTTACCGCGTTCTCTCCTTCTTCCTCCGTTCCTCTCGATCACTTTAGTAAACACTCAATTACTTTAATAAAAAGATCCCTCGACATATTGTCAGAAATGCGAACAATATCGCGGGAATCGATACATCGCGGGGGTCGATACGTGTCACACAGGAATCGATGCATCGCGGGGATCGGTGTGTATCGCGCCGCGGAAAAGTCGCGATCAGAGCGCCGCGATCGCGCAGTAAACGCACGACGAGTATGTCCCAGGAGAAATCCGAGAAGACACTGTGCACGGATCGTCGTCCCTTCGCGATATATCGGGGATTGTTGATCGGGAGGACGCGCACGAAAAACACGCGAGTAACGCGACGAACGGCGCGAAGTTGCGCGCGCGACGCGGCGGCGACAGTAGCGGCGCGCGAGGGGGAGGGGAGAAAGCGCGCGCGACCTTTAAGGTCGACGCCGGCTGTGGCGCGTCGTAGACGGCAGAATCGCGCGAGCCACTGTGCCAGTCGGACGGGATTCCGTGTCACTCGTACGAGAATTCGTCGTGACCACGCCGTCGTACCGTCGATCGCGCGCGGGGCTGCTATTGACGTGGTGCCTGCAGTAGATAGCAGTCGTGTTGCAAGGAGGAGAGCCGTACAATACGTACGTCACTCGTGTTTTCTTTGTGTGTGTGTGTCGATCGCGATCGCCGTGAGCCAAGCGAGCCCGCGCCGCGCCGCCATATTATTTCGTTGTTCGACCGCACTTCGTCGTGTGAAGTATGTTCTGCTAAATCTCACTGTTGCTGCGTGCCTGTTGTTTGTTGTCCAGCGGGTGCATCCGCGCTGCCTCCTCTCGAGCGTGCGCGACGGTACGAAAGTAAACGGACCAAAGGACCGAGAGTGGTTGGTGCTTGATCAGTGTGCCAAGTGCTTTGTCGACCCCGGCCGGACCCCAGGATCGCGGGGAACCTGAAGGCAGTCGCGGAGAAGACGTCTCCTGTGTGTAAGTGGAGAAGGGAGCTGCCGCTGCTGGACGACTCCTGCGGACACGGGTGGTGAGTGAGTTTTTCAGATTTCTGTTTACGTTCCGCGAGCGGACGTGCCGAGCGATCTCAGGCCTGTTTACATGTGTGTGTGTATGACGCTTCGTGTCAGTGAAGAATCGTCTGTTGAATTACGTGGCTGAATTACGTTGAAGCTCGGCGTAAGTGGATTGGAGTGAGAAATAAGTTATTCATTTTTCGCGAGTGTGAGAGACATATTTTCGGAGCTGGAGTGCAGACGTGACAGAAAGTGAACTAAATTATTTTTATTTCTCACTCCAACTTACATCAAGCTTCGTGTAGAGTTGCTGACGAGCCTTTAGGTGCGACGGAGATTTTCGAGCACACGCTACAGAGTTCCGGCCTAATCGCCGTTACGTTGAGACGTGTTCGAATACATTCGAACCTGATGTTCTTGGAATTTGTATCTCGGTACTTTGGATGAAAGAACCATAGAGATAAGTTTGAGTCCAAATAAAATAATAAGAGACAAGTACACATTACAGGAATTATTTTAGTATTCGGAACTGAAATATTCGGTACATACGATTTTTACGACATTACCGTATTTTTATCTGTGTCGAGTACACATTAAAAGAGCAAAATACATAGCGGAATTTTTTTGTTGCAGTTTCAAACATTTGGTTCATTCAATTTTAATTGATTTTTGGTTAGGTCGATCGAACTTTTGTATCGGCAACAAAATCCCTTTTTCTATGCAGCTCTACTCGCGGAATCGTCGCATAGTGTTGTTTATACACGTACAGAGTGTAAGCGTATGTTGCGTGTTTCGTGATCTTGTTTTCGTCGACGGCTCCTTGCAAGACCCCGTCGCTCTGAAAAGTTCTTTCCGAGTCGTAAACAGAGAAATAGATAGCGAACTGACCTTTGCGCGGATGAACACGGGAATGACAAAGTCCTCTCGTGAATCATTTTATTAGGATTTTATTTCCACAGTTTAACCTACTCGGGGAATTTTTATTTCCATCTATTAATATGTGCGTGTAATGCTGTAAATTTTTTTTACAACGTAACGAATAATAATACCCAACTGCTCTAACTTTAGCTTCTCTCGATTTTTTTCTCGAAATTACGGTCGACTCTAAATCAGAGAAACTGTTATTAAAATGAAATAGGTTTGAGATCGCAGTCGAACGTTTTTATATATTTACAAATAAATAGTCCGCTCGCGCGTACAATAAAGCGCTTTGATGTTGTCCAACGTGTTATGTCGAAGTTTTTGCGACTTAATCATAATTATTACTCATTAATTCAATTATTCATTATCACTTTATTATATATATATATATATATATATATATATATATATATATTTAATAATTAGTTTAAGTCGTGAGATATTTAATAAATAATTCAATTTGTATTAATTTAATCACTCTCTGTCTTTCTCTCTCTCTCTCTCTCTCTCTCTCTCTTTCTAAATTGTTTTGTAGTATTCAAGTAACATATTCTCGTTTGCATATTTAATCAATTATAAAGTTTAGTTTTTTTTTTGAGTAATAAAAGATGTCAACGAATGACATATGATGTAAGATATTTCTTTCTAATGCTGACGTATTGGACAGCATTCATGCGCTCGATTTGAACAAATTCTTATAAGACTTTACGCAAATATGCTGCAGGAAACAATCAGAGAATCGATTTATATAAAATAATATTTTATATAAATAGCTTAGATATTTGAAGAAGAACGTTTACTAATTCAAATATACAGGGTGTCCCGTAACTGGTGGTACAAACGGCAAGGGAGTGATTCTACATCAAAAAATAAAACGAAACATATATACCCCGCGAATTTTCTCGAGAACGAAGCCTCATATGAGGCTTAATAAAAATTTTATTCTAGGTTTCCTTCGTTATCTTTTCATGTAGAGTCACTAACCGTTCCCGATTGCACCACCAGTTACGAGACACGCTGTATATCTACTCGGTGACGCAAGCATTTGATCCTCCGATTGTCTTCAGCGCGGTGCACATTGGGAACAATTCATCGGAACAAAAGCACGTTTTGCTGTTTGATGATCGTCAGGGAAACAGATCGAGTAGTTATCGTTGAAAATCACTTCTCGTCATTTGTTTCCTTAACAAACGCATTGCCTGAGATGCAAATCGCATTTGTCCCCGTCTACTTAGGTTAAGTTAGTTATGTCTCCGTTACAGAAGTGTTGCTTAAAGTAGCAACTTGAAAGTAACGAAACATTTGTTCTCGGGTTCTTTTGCCGTCCCATGTACCGCGGTAAACCCTTTGTCGCGGGTACTCTGGCATTCCGTTAAATTAGCCCAACTTTTTCCCGCAGTGTATGGAACGCAAGCTCGGAATTCAGCTTTTCACGCGGAGACGTATCACTTATCTTCAGCTTGAATCCCGCCTTGTTTGACTATTTCAGTTAAACGCGATCGTAGTATTAACTGGGACTTGGAATCGAGTTTTAAAGTTAAGCGTCAGCTATACGATTCTCGTTTGCGCTCCGTTTTCTTAACGCGTTGTGCTAGAATCAGACCGCAATCTTCTCGTATTACTGAAAGCTAGATTTTACGTCGATTGATTACTGCGAATTTTCCAACAATCCATTCTGGTATTTTATTAAATTAACCAAACTTTTTCTCTCAGTGTATAAAACGCAAGTCACTTTATCATTTTTTTGGGAGGGAGGAGTCGGAAGATCGCCTTAAACATTTTTTTAAGTACAAACATTTTTTAAACACTGAGAAATACTGGCGATTACGAGATGGAAAAAAATTCTGTTCTTGTTTTCCGCTTCCTCTAAAAGAATGTAAACATGGTCTGTGTCTCTGTCTTTGTCTCGGAGATCTCTGACGATACTCTGCACTTGAAAGATCAACGACGCGAGTACAACACAGTAGCCATAATGATATTTCGCGGCGTTGTGTCAAAGTGATGTAGACAGATTCAGCGGAGTCTTCCGAAAACGATGCTCAAAAAACGGATCGTACGACGTGCGACTGAAAAAGGCAGTTGTATTTTCGGCTATCTCGATTAAATCGACGAGTAAACGATTTTAAAGGGCCTCCCGATATACGTTACTGAGCTTTTTGGATATCTGGCGGTATTTCAGTCTGATAAATCGTCGTCATGACAACGTCGCATAAATAATCACGGCGTGTCGAGATTAGCCGGCATTCGGCGTATAATCCGGGTTTTACAGAATTTCGAATTTATCGGAAATCAAGTAAATCGGATAGATCAATTTCGATGTGAGCGCAACCGCCTGCACGCTCGCACTGTGCGAGCGCAATTTCCAGAAATAAGCTGTCGCGCGGAAATAAAAGCCGGCATTTCCCGTTTCGTAGATAACAAAAGTCCTTTCAAAAAAATCTCTCTCTCTTTCTCTTGATGTAAAATGCAGTCGATCTGTCGCGCTTTATCACAATATTTGCTACAACAATTTGTAAGATAATGCAAGAGGATTTTGGAGTCCACGCGGCCTTCCCGAGCTTTTTCGATTTCTTGATCAATTTTTATTGACATACGATTGAAGCTCACGTCGAGTCGATTCCAGATATATGACTCGCTAATCTGAGCCTCTAACCGTTTTCGAGAAAAATGGCCCAAGAGCCCTTATTTCAAAAGAGACGTCGCAAAAAATTGGCTTAAGCTCCTTTAAGGATGGATCTTCGTCGTTCACAAGGACCTGCCAGCTGATACTTGTCTTCGTTCGCATGACGCTATCTGTTGAAACTGTGACTCTCTCGGATCAATTCTATATATACGCGCTCTCTAAAGAATACAATTGAAATAAAAAATATCTTAGGCAAGTGATAGAATATTTCAATCAAGTGTTGAGAGGATAATAATGTTTGACAGCGTCAACGCACGCGTTGGGTAGGTTTCCCAGTCTTTCGGACCATTTTCCTTGAGGACGCGGCAAGAGACTCGTATTAGAGGGCTACGTATTCGGAATCGACTCGACATGAGAGCTGTCAATTCGTTAGTAACGAATCAATTTATTATCCACGACATGCACCAAGATTTTCACGACTGAACGTCGCGGTTGTCAATGAATGAGCCTTCGATCGGGCCACGTGACGCGTCGTTTTGGGCGTCGCTATTTTGAGCGCCGTCTATCGTCCTTCGCTCTCGACGGAGGCGCATCAACGTCTGAGCGGGTATGGATTTCGGCAGTCGTTCCCACCGACGCTCTCCATCGGCCTCATGCAGGTCGGCCGCGTTTCGCGTAAACCGAGAGCGAGTAAACGAGCTTGGCGAAATTTATTTATACACCCGTCGAGCGCGAAGCGTCCGCTCGGAAATGCACTTTGCAACGTTCACGGCGTATGCGGCGCGCATATTTCACGACATGGACGTTTAGGAGCGCGGAATAAATCGGGCGCGCAGCGCGCGAAGGTCCATTTGCATACAAACGCGACGACGCAACGCCGCTCGCGATTATGTACGCGGCTGTACGCGAATAAACCATCCCGGCCGTCCTTTCCCGCGTCCGAGCCTGCCGGTGATCGCAACTCGCGATTCTCTCTTATCCGGGTCCTGCCTCGACGTCGATATCAAAGGCTTCCGTGCGAAACCTTAACGTTCATTGCACTCGCTGCACGCAGGAAAACGCATTCGAGCAAGTGTTATTTATCTCTCCTGAGTTTATTATATCTCTCGTAAACTTAAACAAGTATTATTATACATAAGTATTATTATACATAAGCGTAAGTTTATACATACAGTACATCTCAACTCTCAATCATATAATTATTTCTCCGGAGGAGAGGAAACGAGTTTCACGCGCGATATCCAATCTAATCGCGAAAACAGCGTGCATAACGTGTAACTCCCGAGCCGCGGGCTTTCTACATCGAGATTCGGGCATTACTATACTTGAACCCCGTGCGAGTGAACATTGAGGTCAAGACATGGTGAAATACGAGTGAAGTTCGCGGAACAAAGCATAAATATCGGTGCGCGACTTGCACGTAGCGGGAGTTGCCGTTATATGCATTATCAGAACGATTCCTATCCTCCC